TGTTTGCTTACAAAGAAATAGTGATAATATGATAAGATGAGGATAACAATTTACTTTAACGGATTGGAAATTCGGTTCAGGAGCGCCCCTGTACGATGTGTCTCAATTTAGGGTTTCTGAGTGGTCTAGGCACCGTGCGTTACAAAATAAAAAGATCACTGCGCACGCACGCCGAGTAGCCGCGAAGCCTGTTTCAAATCGGGCAAAACTAGTTTTCCATGCAATCGAAAACGGGCTGACCAGATGAAACTTATAAAAAAAAAGCAGAAACACGAAGTTGAAAACGATCCAGAGACTCCTAATAAATTGCGTTACTGACTAATTAATTATGTCATTACAAATCTTAGTTTTCAGTTTTCTTATGTATAACTGATTTTCTTATAAGACTGAAGATATGGCGTATATATTCAATACTGAATAAACGCCATTAAACTATTACCAACAACAATAACAACGGTAAGGCAGGATTGTGTATTTAGATATTTCCACTACATTTGATCCGATACGTCCATCCAGGCCAGCCTCACCCCCATATTCTGGTCTGATTTCTTTAGAGCAGTGAAACGTATGTAGACAAAAGGGTGATGATAATAAGTGACTGTTAAGTGTTAGGCAGGTGCGGATCCAGGTATTTTTTTTGCTCCCAATTTTTTTAAATCGCGCCGGCCGAAAATCCCATCAGGGGGGGGGGGGGGGGGGGGGAGGTAGTGTGAGCACTAGTTTTTTTTTTTTGGCCCTCGAAAAGTTTAAAAATTGCACCCACCCCCCTCCCTTTGAGCGCCAGGGGGGGGGGGGCATCTCAAAAAAAAGGATCCGCCACTGCACATAGATACGGGAAAGGTAATCTCTTGTGAGCATGACTGATGCATTTTTTTCAGATCCAATAGAGCCCATTTTGAGCTCCAATCTTTTCCATATGTTTTTTTTTATCTTCACACGTTAACAGAATCGCGGCCGGTTACAGTGACACATCTGTATATGATCGTTCTAATTCGTGAATACCAAAGGACCGAGCTGTGCATGGAACGAATCAATATTGAACTTTGCTGAGGATGAGATGAATATTTCTTGAACGGGAAAATTAGTTACCATATGTTATCGGTGAGTCGATTATTTTCAATTATTATTTAACAGATGCGACCAAGCTCGGCATTGTACTAATTGGGCATTTTTTGAGCTGAAGCATTTAAAAATGGCATTTCAGATCATGCAAATGTTTTCCCGTCAACTTACCTCAGCGTTAGCTCATAAAACACGCGTTGGAAGCTTCTCTTTGGCAGTCCTGGCATTGTCTGCTTGTATTTTATTCGGGACACAAAAACATTATTGGACAAACTTATCCACCGTGAAAGAAAATCCAGTTTTCAAAGCAATTACGGGCACGAGTGATGTCAGGAAATCTGCCAAAGTCGATGAGCCCCCTCCGTTTATTATTCTCATGGCGCAATGGCGTTTTGGATCTACTGCACTTGGAGAGCTTTTCAACCAGAATCAAGAACTCTTCTACATCTTCGAATCACTCTGGCCAACTACAGAATTAAGAAAATTAAAGAATGTAACGCAGAACACTCCGGAAAACAAAGAAATGGCAAGAGATATACTTCGCGGTTTCGCCAAGTGCGATTTCAAAACGGACTATGTGAAGATTTTAAGTAATTGGGATGGTTCTGCTAATTCTGGCCATAACAGAGGACTCTGTTTAAACAGTAAATCTTGCAGAATGCACTCAGCAAGCGCTCTCGGGGACTTTTGCAAAGAATTTAAAGGTAGACTAGCCACAAAGATCCTCCACGCCGATCTAGACCTTCTGAAGCCGCTGGTGGATGAGGACGGTATCAATCTCAAAATTATCCACCTTGTTCGGGATCCCCGTGGAGCTACCTCGTCCAGAATAGAGTACCTGAACTTCAATTATCCGCGAAATGTGGCTAAAGCACGGCCTTTCTTCCCGAACTTGGGCCGCCTTAAACCGCTTGGTCTTCTTGATGATATTCCAGAGTACATGCTTCCCGTTCAAGAGATAAACGATAACAACCCTACAGTTCGAGGGTTGTGCCAGTGGATCAGGGAGAACACGAAGAGATCATCCGACCCATTGCCTCCATGGTTACAAGGACGATACCATCTTGTTATTTACGAGGACTTCGCCAAAGCCCCTTTGACAGAGGCTGAAAAGATTTACAACTTTATCGGGATGCCACTCAAACCAGAACTCAAGAAGTTTGTCCACAACATGACTAAATCAAACTCCAGTGACACATCTATATTTTCAACTTCAAAGGATGCGCACAAAACAGCCAATAAGTGGATGAAGTACTTGACAGATATGGAAGAGAGACAAATCGTAAAGGAGTGCCTGGATGTCCTGCAACTCCTGGGATACGAACCGAATCGCACCAGGATTCTTCCAGAGAGTTGATGGTTAATTTCACTCGGAAACAGGGTAAATGATATTGTCCAACAAAGCGCCAAAGCTCTGCAGGAATGTAAGGAGGACTTTATACACATAATTGTTTTGATATTATTGATATTACATGAGTATTTAAAATCCTTTTGCATCCAAGCCAATTTTATCTCTTCCAAAATGCATTGATAACGCCTTTACCTTGCGGTGACAAAGCGCTGCACACAGGGCTTCTGAGCATCAGATGCGGCGCTCCCCGTTGAGGGGTTGGGCAAGAACGAACTGTGCTCCTTTTAGAATATAATCGTGCTCATTTTCAACGCTATAATGTCCCTTCTCTATGTAGGTCATTTTAATATAAAGAGTGTGCCATCTTTACACTGACGGGGGGGGGGGGGGGGGGGGGGGGGTAGTGAGCACTTATTTTTTTCTTCTTCTTCATTTTGCCCCCCGAAATTTGCCAAAAGTGCCGACCAATATTTCGGGGGGGGGGGGGGGGTAGAAAGCACTAACATTTTTGTTTTTGCCCCCGACAAAAAAAATAGAAATGTTTTACTTTTTTGTCAGCCCAAGGTGGGGGGTAGATCCGCCCCTTGGGAGGATAAAGAATGAAATATGGTACATTTAAAAAAGCAATATCCATACCATACCGCTGCAAAATCGAAGTGACATCATGCAGACCCTGATTGTGGCAAATCAGTGTTTTATTGGTTTTTGTGTTGTGTGTATTTGTTTTATATTATTTTGAAGGCTTAACTTGTCCACTCCTTTCGCTTTCGTTTGTCTTTTGTGATCCAGTCGAAACGGGTTTTTTGAAGTCTGGCAACAACACTCGTGTCAACCTAGATCCCGAGGGTGTTTCATCAATCCTTAAAATTGATCTTTTATTTGATCGGATCAACTTTAAGGGCCTAAAATTGATTTCGATTTAAGGCCCTGTTTCATCAATCAAATAAAAATCAAAGTTTAGCTTAAAATTGATTTGATGGAACAGCTCACAAGTATAAATTTTAAGCTAAAATTGTTTAAGCCTTAATATTTATTTGTAAAGATCAATATCAAATTTAGTTGATGAAACACCCCTCGACTAATATACTCGATACGCTATGTAGAATGTAAATCATTAAAGAGAAGTTTCATTGATTTTAAAAACTAACTTTGTTGTCATTATTGCAAAGGTGAAACTTTGATTGGAGAAGGTTATCAAAATTCAATGTTTGGAAACATTCGAAGTAATGATGATCAACAATTACAAAACGCTTAGATACAGCCCCGGCATAGCACCTGAACAGCTCTCCGATCACTGCTGAGATGTGTGACGTCACATGTTGAACATGATGTGCACTTGCTCGACGATGTCCGATGACATCTCACACAATTTCAGTGCCTGTTTTGTCATCTTTTCTTCAGTTATTTCTCTTACTTCACTTCCCTCAGGCGAAATGTTTAATCTATTGCCTCACTCTACCCTGTGCATGGTATTATTTTGATGAAAAATGCAAGGATAAGGAAAGAAAAGCTAGGTTGACCCCCCTGGCTCCCGGTCTACGACCCCCCAGGAAATGAAGGAGGGGTCTGAAAATTTGAACCCCATCATTTTTGGCCAATTGGGACCCTTTTGAAGCCAAAACAGCAACAAAAAAAAAAAATCAACTTTGGCACAAAAATCCTACGGGATTACATACCATACCGCACTATATGTTTTGTGCACTGTGTTTTACTATGCTTGCAACATGTACGATTGTGTAATGCAGATTCCTTTTGGAGTTGGATTCTATTCGTTGGATTTATGTGCAGCTGTTAACCAGCCTATTGTCTTGGACAATAGGCTATGGCTTCTATCACGGAATCCACCTTGAGAATTCCTTTTGTTCTGGTTTTACTTCTTTTATTGGGATCACCTCAGGCATTCAAGCTACAAACACCAACTTGCCATTGTCAGATCGACGTATGTTTAAATATCATGGACCTATTATGACTAATGAATAAATAAATAAATAAATTGATGAAGATGACGCAAATATTTGTTTTAATTCAAGATTTTTTAATTAAGACCATAACGAGACTTAACAAAGAGAATGTATATAATACCTATATGTAAAACATGTACAGAAATATACACCAGTTGAAGATATATGCCGACATACAGTAGTAAGAATCATCCAAGTTCCTGTAAATGATTGATGATGATTGTGTTTTTATTGTCCGAGGAGCAGTCTGAATATTTACCCTTAATATTTCTGCTGAAAGCAAAAAAAACACAGTCGAATACAGTTATACAAGAAACAATGATTTACTAGACGTCTCATGCACATATTATGACTTATCTAGCTTCTAAATTCTTACGAGCGAGTGAGAGAAAAATAAAGCGTATTTAGATAGCATTGACTGTTTGTGTTCTATATACATTGATCATTTCAATAATTATCTATCCTTAAATTAGGTATATACTTTTAGATTAGATAATAACTGAAAGAGACCATCGGCTGCTTCTATAAAGGCCTATAGGTGACGATGGCTCGTCCCTTTCTCGTCTCTGTTGGCATCCCCCTTTCCCCCTATTTTGTAGTTCCCTTTGTAGAACTTTACGGACTTTTTAATTACTCATTATTCCTAAGTATCATTTGAGGTGTTCACACTTGTACAAGAATGGCTTTTTAGAAGACCCCTCTGTTTTCAACATGTATTTCTACGTTTATTTTAAATGTTTTTAATTGATGTTTAATGTTTTATTGTAACATGAATAAATTGAAATTGAAATTGAAAAAATTAGGAACTTTCTTATTTTGAATGCGGGTCTTTGCTCAAACTGTCACTGACCTGCTCCTCTCATTTTTCTACTTCTATAAAAATCAAATTATATCAGGGTGGACTTTTCCTTTAAAATGTCATAAGACAGGGCTAAGGAATAGGAAAATACAAAATAAATTGTAAACATTTCTATTGCATCTATCCCTTCTTATCTCTTTATTTACCATGAATCATCAACCCCCGCCCCCCCCCCTGGATCCGCCACTGCTTTTAGGTGATTACGAAGCATGGATGATTGATTGCTCGAGGGTTGATGCTGTGCAATAAAAGGATGTAGATTTACTTCTCACAGGGTGTGGAATCGATCATATAGGGTATAAAATTCAACCCCACGGGTGTAAATTTGAACCCATTTTTCATGAAAATGGAACCAAAAGGTGTTAATTAAGCACCATTGGGTGCAAATTTCACTCCTTAAAGGGAGTAAAATCATAACCATGGGGTGCAAATTTACACCTTCTTGTGGGATGTTAATTTACTCCCTACATTGGGGAGTAGATTTACTCCCTGAGGGGTGTCACTTATGCGACAAGCATTTACTCCCTATAGGGAGTAAATTTACACCTCTTTTTCTCTGTGTGTACTATGGGCTTCAAACCGTTCTAAAGACATCTTGTGTGTGATTTCTATGAACACCCTGACAGAAAGGTATATATCTTTTCTTATTTTTTCAAGAAGGCACACATTAGACATGCATCAAACTGTAGAGCTTGATTGTGTTGTTCTGTTCACTGAACCTGCGTCGTGAAGAAGGGCTTTGAGCCATTCCGATGGATGAGGAATATTGTGAAACCTGCATGTAAACATGCTTCTGAAGACGACCTTGAAGCAGGGATGACGCGCTGCGTAAATCATAGGGTTCAAACAGTTAGGGAGAAGCACAAGACCGGCTAGATATGCTGTGTGTAATCCAAGGTGTGGTGAATACAGATTCAGTGCGAAAGGCAAAACACAGATGAAGAAGACTACCACAACAAGAGCCAAATTTTTGGTGATATTGATCTGTTTGACACTTGGGCCCTTTCGCGATGACTGCTGGTTGGTTCTGCCATCGATTGCCAGGTTGTCATTGGATTCTCTCAGCCTGCTGCGTGTGTTGATGACATGTCCCCGGACAAAACGGTAGATTGCAATGTAGCAGAAGAATATGATGAAGGTACAACCAGTAAAGATGATCGAGGCTATACTTTGAAAGACGATAGCTAAAGGATGTTCCAAATCCCACATACAGGATCTGAAGTTGGGAGCATACACTATCCCACCCGTTGCGGGAATCAGCTGAGGCATCACCAGAACTAGGAACGGAAACAGCCACACAAGTGCTACCATGAAGGCATTTCCACGGTGTGTGTAGATCTTCTGTTGTACTCTCTTACCCTTGGTGATGATAATGTAACGGTTGACTGCAATTGCAGTTAAAGTCAGGATGCTGGTTGGGTTAGACCAGATGAATATCGTTCCCAGCAGATCACACATCCCTTTCCCAAAAGGCCATCCAGACTCAGAGAGCACTGATATGCCTTGGAATGGCAGAGAGACAGATGAGATGAAATCAGATATAGAGAGACTCACCACAAAAACATTTGTGGAGTTCTGGAGGTCCTTGGAGAGAGAGACGGCCAGGAGCACCAATAAGTTACCTATCATACCAAGTATTCCTATGGTGATCCCCAAAGAGGCGATGATTGTAGCATCTGTTTGACTGGTGTAGATCAAGGGTATGGTTGGTTCTGCAGTGGTAGTGACATTCAACGTGCTCCCTATTATGTCTGTTGTCAAGAAATCCATGATGATTCACATGCAGGCTGGTTTCCTTAAAACAAAAATGTACACCAAAAAATACGTCAAATTACAAATTACAACAAAATTGTTAAGAGTGATTCAAATATTTTGTATATTTTGTATATTGAAAACATTCTAAAACATACATTTATGTTTCTTGAGTCAATCGTTCGAAATATTTTCTCTCTTACCCATTCGTGAGTAAAGATGCTTGCCGCAACACAAATCTATTTTCCTTTTTCCCCAGCTAGAATTAGAAATGTTTTAGAGTCTTTAAAACATTTCAGTATGATGTTGTCTAGTGGACAGTCACTGTATACATTTCATCACAGGCTTTAAGTACGTTAGTAGCTTTGGTAGGACACTCTGTATGACTTCTGAATGCCTCAGTATTACTTAATTGGTGGATAGGAAGAAAATTACTCACAATGCTCGACTGCAATCTGTGTCGTTCTTCCTGTGTATGTCCTACATATCCTACACATCCGATAAAAAAACTGCATCTAGAACAGGAACTGCTTTTTGATTGGACCTTCCAACTATCGGAAGTGTCCGACCATCATGTAAAATTCGCTCTTGAAATATATTTGTATAGCTGTTAAGTATGAACAGTGTCAAGTATTTTTCTAAAATGGCATTATATCTGATTGAATTGACCTTGATATTCATACCTGCAGGAAAACACATCCTGTTCATATCCTGTTATGTCACTATTATAACCTCAGTTTCCTGTCTTTCCTATCCTATGTATTTCACTTTGTAAGCAATGTGGACAGTATGGCATGCATTGTAATTCTATATAGTACAATTCTGTAGATCGGTTTTCTTTCGATACGAGCACATGAAATCACAAGTGATGTTGGCTTGTTTTATTAGTTTTCATTCCATGTTTTCGTATTAGAATAGTGTCTTTAGTGGATCTTTTGAGATCTTTGAAGCATTTTACACTTTGTAAGCAATGTGGACAGTATGGCATGCATTGTAATTCTATATAGTACAATTCTGTAGATCGGTTTTCTTTCGATACGAGCACATGAAATCACAAGTGATGTTGGCTTGTTTTATTAGTTTTCATTCCATGTTTTCGTATTAGAATAGTGTCTTTAGTGGATCTTTTGAGATCTTTGAAGCATTTTACACTTTGGTCACAATGCGCTCAATAACCACTGGTGTATACGAATGTGGGGGGGGGGGGGTATCACATTTGAGTTTTAACACATCTATTCAAGGCGAGCCGAATATCTCGCAAAAATAGCAGATATCTATTTATTATGAAGCTGACAAGACTCGAGATCGCGCCTGAGCGTCATATTCTGACGCTAAAATTATTTCGATCCCGTCCCCAATTCTACTGAGAGTTGTTTACCAAATCATACACGCAACACAACTCACAAGCGAGATGAAGGCTATACAGGCTCTCAGTTGATTATTATTTCGTGCTGCCAGTCTTGGCTGTAAAATGTAATTTTAGTGTGTCATGCCAATCGGGTTACTCTTAATATTGAGCGTCGTTCAGATATGACACAACGAAATCGCAGCGTTTTTTGTCTGTCTTCTTTTCTTCTTCTGAATATATACATAACAACGAAAAAATGTAATGCACTTCAAATTGCTCAGTGAATACACGAAAGTCCTATATGGCCCGCAGTTGCCATTCATTTACATGGCGGCTTTCATTTTTGCGGTGCTTCACCGCGCCATATCTGAACAAGTGTTAGGCTAGTACACAGATGAGACAATAAAGATGATTCAATTCAACTCAATTAAGTTTATTTCACTTCTATTTAAAAACCTAAAATAACAATGACATTTCACAATATTATACATCGTCTTAGTCTGAATAAATTAATTTCGTCCTGTCTCCGATAAGAGGTGTCGCTACAACTTACATCTTCCACCTTTTTTTTCTCCACGAAGTTGAATTTATTGACTTTTGCACATACGATCATTTTTAATTCAACACTTCCAACAAACCAACCATATTAACCTTGACATTAATGTTTGCGTGAAATTCCTAAAATGTCAATTTAAAAGTTTCAGTAGTTTTAAACACAGAGCAAACTGAAAATGCTAACTAATAACAAAAAAATACACTTTGGCTCAAGAAAATGATGAATTGTTCGATTACCAAGTCAACGTAAATAACAAAAAATATATTTCTAAGTTATGAAATAGAACAAAACCTAGTCATCTGAATCTGGTATTGAAGCACTTCTTCAAAAGTCATCGTCTCAAACTCTCTTCAACCACTCTGAAAATTCCCTACCTTTCCCCTATTTCCTTTTGTTAAATTGTTGATAACAAAGAAAAAGTGCGACTAATGATTAAATGACAATGTATCCCTACTTATTAGGTTTATGAAATGCACACATTGCTGAATTCACAGCATACTTGATACCAAGCGCGTAGCCAGGATTTCATTTTAGGGGGGGGGGGCGGTAGTGTGCACGCAAAGCGTGAGAATAACTTAAAGAGCGCGCTCCCTAGGGAGGTTGGTGCAAGGAGGGGGAGCTTTGAAAGAAGACGATTCGTTGTACCTTTCTCGACTCATAATCCTTGTCTGAATTCAGTCCACCCCTCCTGCGCATAGCGCGGAAGCTTTGACGTATTATTAGACAAAAAAGACGATTCGTTGTACCTTTCTCGACCCTTAATCCTTATCTGTATTCAGTCCCCTCACGCGCGAAGCGCGGAAGTTTTGACCTTTCATTATTTATTAGAGAAAGAAGACGATCCGATGTACCGTTCTCGACTCTTAATCCTTATCTGAATTCAGTTTCCTCCCCTCCCGCGCAAAGCGCGGAAACTTTGAAGTTTCATTAAATTATTAGAGAAAGAAGGCGACTCAAAGTACCGTTCTCGACTCCCGCCACCCCCCCCCCCACTCAGTGTTATTTAGGGTACGCATATACTTGTTCCCTCTTTTTGATAGCACCCCCTATCTGAGGACTGCCACCATTTCCAAACCCCCCTTTCGCGGGCTTTTTGCGGGCTTTTCCTGCCTTGGAGACCCCCCCCCCCCTAAATTCGGATAAATGCTCAATGTACCCCCCTAAATTCGGAATAATTTCTCAGGAGTCCAAAGAGATGAGAGAAAAAAGAAAAAACACCCCCTTTTTAAAGAAATCTCCAGGTGAAAAATCAAATACACCCCCCCTTTTTACAATTTTCGGGCCGGCCGCTTTGTCGCACGAAAAGTACCCCTTTACCGGATATTTTGGCAACACGCATGCAGTCATTCCCACCCCGGAGTGGGGGGGGGGGGGGGTGGGTCTCGACTCTTAATCCTTGTCTGAATTCAGTACCTCCCCCCCTTCTGCGCGAAGCGCGGAAGCTTTGACATATTACTAGACAAAGAAAACGATTCGTTGTACCTTTCCCGACCCTTAATCCTTATCTGTATTCAGTCCCCCTCTTTCGAAGCGCGGAAGCTTTGACGTTTCATTAAATTATTCGAGAAAGAAGACGATTTTTTGTTACCTTTCGACTCTTAATCCTCAATTTGAACTCAATTTCCCCCGTTTCGCGCGAAGCGCGGAAGCTTCGACGTTTCATTAAATTATTAGAGAAAGAAGACGATTCGTTGTACCGTTCTCGACTCCTTTCCCTTTTTCTTCCTACGTCCTCTTACTTTTTTTCTTCTCTTTCTCTCTCTTTTTTGTTTTTTGGCCGGCGTTTTTTTTTTTTTTTTTTTTTTTTGGGGGGGGGGGGGGCTACCACCCCCACCGCCCCTCCCTGGCTACGCGCCTGCTTGATACATGTATGATAATTACATCAAACTACTACTGTTAAAGTACTTTCAACCTAACCAAATATTAACTGCTGTCGTATCTCCAGCGTAGTGAAATAAGTATTAGTCAAGTGCTGAATGTTTAGTACAATGGGCGAGTATATACAATGCAATTATTTTCAGCAGTCGCATAAACGTTTAGACACATTGAAAACAAATACTAATGTCCTTTGCTTTATATTTGGACACATGGTAATACAAGGCATGCAATCAATAATAACAATAATAATAGTAGGCTAATAACTGTTTCTTTAAAAAGCGCTTTAACAGATGGTACCAAAGAGCGTACAATATCAATATTACCCCGGTTATTGGATTCAACTACTATTCCCCACATAAGTGGGTACATTCTCCACTCCCTGGGGAGCATTCTAGCTGGTCCCCTTTTGGCCTTCGTTTATTCTACCGGCTAGCCATTTAACACCTGGGTACAGAGGAGCAATGTAGATAACAAATGCCTTGCTCGAGAACATAACTGTCGCCAAACAATTTTTGAGCGTCAAGTAACGCCTGGCTGGAATGCTCCCCAGGGTGTGGAGATTGTGCACACACTGTGTGTGGGCAAGTATTGAATCCAATGACCGGGGTAATGGTATATCTGTAAAGCTCTGAGAGACATCTTAGATGTATTAAGCGCAATATAAAAGCAGAATATTAGTATTAAAAAAAAAAATTACGACACCTCTACAAATCAAACGTTACGTTTTATTTTACTTTAGATTTCAGATAAAGAAAGATTTAATCAATCTACAAAACAATCATGAAAGTCCATTCGTATTGGCAAAACGTAAAACTAGTAATAACAGTTTTGATCTCAATTCAAAATCTTTACCTCCGAAATATTCAACTGCCTTCGTCACCAATATATGTGACCCGAATTAATTTACCTTCCTGACGTAATTGGCAAACAAACTATACCGTTCGTCAGAATCTAATACAAATATAATCTCAAACATTTGGCAGAGAATGACTGTATCGTATCCTATGTTATCAATAAACATCATATTGAGTAATTGTAAATCGCATTGAACATGTCTATAAAATAAGCGGTATATAAATACATTATAAGTAGTAGTAGTCGATACGTGACACACAGATGTATATCGCATTCTAAAATTCAAGGCGCCTTTGAAAATATCTGTGCACTCTAGTGGCTGTTGACGTCTACCGAAACACCACAAGTCAAATGTGTCAACCATACATTAATCATTTTGCAGAATGATTCAACCTTCCTAACACTTCCTGCAAATGTACTCCTCGTTGACCTTCGGATTCACTATTTCTGGTTCAAATGGGAAATCCACCATGAAAGTTGGTTTTTATAAAAGCTAACAAATTAAAATAATAATATTAGTTTATTCTTATATAGCCCATTTCAGGACCGCACGCCCTCTCAAAGCGCTTTACAGATTTATTATACCCCGGTCATCGGACTCGGGCTTATCCGCACACAATGTGTACACATTCTCCACATTCTTGCTCAACACTTGCTCAACTTACCACCTCTACAGGATATGATAGAAACAAGTCAGTGAAAGTCCAAACAAAAATAAAGTTATAAGTTCTTGAAGCTGCGATCAATCAACATGAATTGGCTCTGTACATAAAATTTCATGAACTTTAATTTTCTTCGTTCTTCATGACGGAATATATATTTTTCCCCCATACAGGGATGTAATAGATACATATTTGCAACGACCATTATATATGGTGCATGTACCATTGTACATTTTCTCTAGGGAAAATAACTATTAAGGTTGTTTTATCGTACAAAGCAAATGGGAGGGGAGCTCACAAGATACGTCACATAATTGCGAATTTGTGTTTGGTTGATTGCAACTTCAAAAATGAATAAATTTGTTATTTGTAATCGGAATTCGCACAAACTGACCTGCTCTTCTCGTTGTTCAAGTTAATATCAAGTTCAAGTTCAAGTTTTATTTCCACATCCGATTAAAAAACAAAACAAATACAGTATATATGCATGTATACAATAATAAATGTTAAAATGAAACTTCTTCAATTGTAATCATAATGTGGTGGGGAAAACGGAGGCCAATGGCTTATCAAGGTTATTCCCTAAGATAATAAATTTTACATCATTTTTTTTTTTAACATCATTTTTATACTAAAAAAAAGATAGGAATACAAAGATTAAAATGACACAAAACATCAACATATAGAATTTAAACCAGACAAATGCATTACAAAAACAAAAACAAAGAGGGCATTTATGTAAAAATATTTACAATATATTTTAATAAAAAGAACCTCAATGAAATCATTACAAATATCAAGATCTGAACGTCTCCTAAAGTGCAAGCCAGTTTCTATTCAAAACGTGACTAAAAACCTACTTCTTCACCACGTTTCTCGCCTCACCCTTTTCCAACAAACTGATTGCTATTTATGTATACACATTCATTTTTGGTGTTCAGAAGAGTGATAATGAAGACACCGATCAACTGATCTGCGACATCAGCAACACAAATGAACGCCTCAAGTACTCTTATAGATTGTTTGTTGCCATCTATAACTCCTGAAGTTTGTTTCCCCTTTTCTGTAATTCTTCCTCTACCTTCTTCAAACCGTGTTCTCTGTTTTCTATTATGACAAAACTATGGCGCTTTACTCAAATCATTTATAATTTCGATCGACTCAACCTTTAATTTAAATTCTACAGCACAATAAATATTTCAATAAGTAAATGAATTAATCAATTCATATATAGATAGATTAATAGACAAATAAATAAATAAGTAAATAAATAAATGAACACAAATTATTAAATGAAACAATTTAATGATAACTCGTTATGGTTCGAGTGTTGATACCAAGTACTTCGAATCTCATAGCCGCAATATTTACAACCATTACAGGATGCAACATGACGTACCGTGCGGTTACTGGCTCAGGAAACAGTATGGTCACATATGTGGCAGCATCAAAATTTCCTGCATATGTCTGAAAAATAACGAAAACAAAGGATAATATTATTTCTAACAATTATAATTATAATGATAATTATGATAATCTGTTTTTTTTTCTCCATCAACCAAACAAAGCCTCATCAGTATTACTGCCGATTTTCCCAAGGGCCCTGCAATACATATAACCCCGAAAAACTTGGTACCCATTTACACCTGGGTGGAGAATGGCAAATGTTGATAAATGTCTTGCCTGGAATCACTTGTATTAGTATAACTCTTCTTTGAGAAGCGCAATAAGTCACAGAGATTTTATCTCCAAGGCACATGAATAATTTATTTTAATGGAATTTTTTCATATTTTGTTCGATACTTTCCATTAAATTTGCGTAAGTTATTCATCCCTTTGGATGTGTTAATATAAAATATGTGGATATGGAAGAACAATTGCATGCAAAAACAATTTTAAAATTTTTGAAAATATATAAGTATATAAGTAATAAAAAGAGCACGGATATAAAAGGTAGATGATAGATTTGAAGACAAAAAATGAAATAAGCATTTTCTGGAAGCGCGAAAATGACACTCACTTTTCGTACCCCGCACTGCTCTTCCAGAGCAAAGGTCCAATTTGTATTGTCCCTGGAGTAGGAGATTTGGAATGACGTAACCCTTTGGTCGTATCTGATCCGTCCCTGTATGATAACACCAGTTACTAGAGTATCCTCGCCGAGGTCGACCTTTTTGTAATTTTAATGATGAAAAGAAGATAAAATATTAATGAATCCAACGGCAGATTATTTTGCATTATTTTGATAACAATGCTAAGGACAAGCAAAATATAAAAACATGTGAGCCATTTGAACACATGTATTCAAGTATTCAATTTATTTCACATCACTTTAAAAACACATCAAAAGATATACAAACAAATCATAATGTTGTTTTCAATATGAGCAAACTGAAAGGGCTGGTCAGATTTGAATGAAAGCAATAGCGGGATTTTTGATTGAAGATACGCCTTTTAATGTTTTATTCAGGGTGGACTTTAAGAGGGAAATCTTTTTTTTTAATAGTTAAACTTGTTTATTATCATTATTACAAACATTTTTTACATTAATGTCTCTATTTGTAACATCGGTATTTGAACATGAACCAACGTCTATCATTTTATGGCATGTATCCTTGTACATTAACCTTATAATACATAATCATCTGAGTTGTCAGGAGTTCTGTCAAGGTGTATGGTGTCTACAGGCTTGACAGGATCCAGGTGATAGAATCTGAACGCAACTCTCTCTCCTCTCTCTCTCTCCTCTCTCTCTCTCTCTCTCTCTCTCTTTCTCTCTCTCTCCCTTTCTCTCTCTCTCTCTTTTATCTCTCTCTCTCTCTCTCTCTCTCCCTCTCTCTCATTATTCTTTGTTGACCTTTGGCTTTCCACTGTGCATTTTTTACATTATTATTAATGATGACGACGTCACCTCAAGCTGTGCTTATAACGAACCTTTTTTAAAAATATGTATATGGAATATTAAATCAAGATGATGACGATGATGATGATAACACTATTTAAGATATAATAATGATAATTATAATAATAACAACAACAATGATGATGATAATAATAACTATAACAATGATAATGATAGTGATGGTAATAAGTGATTAGTGATTCTGATAATAAGAGGCATGTTCGGTATCAAACACGAGACAAACGTCCGTCCGACACCGACGCTTACAACAACCATCCCAACGATAACTCCATCGTCACGATCACTCAACGGATCCAAGCTTGGGTTCTCATTATGGTAAAGAAATCGAAGGACACTGATTCATCAATAATTTTTATGTGTCATTATCAACAAAATGATGAATACTTTACCAGACCTGAATAAATCAAGCAGATATGACCTCACTCAATAATATAAAGCGCATGCTCGAAGCTGATCCGCACTTTTTTGTTCTTGTTGCGTGAAGAGCATACTAATATAGGAAGCATCGAACAAAAAAAGAATAATAATATTCATGACCTTCGGGCGGGTTGTAGGCGTGTGCAAATATCTAACCAAACATGGCGGAGCTTCACCTATACACATGAAATATATCATATTACAGTATATTATTCTTTATTTCATTCATACTTCTCATCAGTTAGCCCATATAGAAAGCCAGGTGAACCCTTTCTCACGTTCTTCTTCTGGTAATCTTCAAAGGGCTTGGGCTATGCAGCCTATCACGAAGAGAAGGTTGATTTTTTAAATACATTTCAGCTGTACACAAATGATTTCTTGATATATACACTTTATTCAAATTATCTCAACGCACATCTAGACATGCTAGAGCAAGTTACCTTAACCCACTCATTGTTGTCGCTATAGGCAGCGACCCATGCACCGGCAGATACCCATCCACTGCCGGGTTCCCCTGGATCAGGAACTTCATTCAACCTTCCTCTGTAAGCTTCATGGCTGGAACCATAGAACGATGACGAGGTCAGACTAGAGTCTGGTATCCGACCATCTTCCACGCCAAGCCCCTCACCGAGGACAGATGGAGTGCACCCAAGTTTCGCATCGAAGTTCAGCGACTCTGCAAAAAAAGGAAAAAAAGAAAGAAAGATGAAGTAACTAATAAACTTTCCTACTAATAAAAACAAACGAACAAGGAAGACAGAACAACAACAACAAAAAATGGAAAAGGAAAACAAAGAAGGAAAATTTGTGATTGGGGAATGGTATGAATGGTATGGTATTAACCAATAATTATCATGATTATGAAAATACAGGTTTGTTGATTTTTAACGTGTCAATAAAACATGAGTTATCTTTAGCAATATCTTTCTGTATTTCTCGAGCATTCGTGTGAGAGGATGATTATTTAATCACCTACAATATGGGGCCGGCCTGTCCGGGAGTTCACAAACTATACGATCCAACTACGACCCTATTTTGGAAGTATTTGCAACAACATTTGATTGGAACATTCAAACAAATCATGTACTAAATTAAATCTCAAAGATCGAGGGTCCGAGTAGTCATATGAATTATCTAATCTATTTTTTCGAGGCATTTGAAACTTAATTTCTGGAGGAAAGACAAGCTAAATCGGCTTAGACTCGTAGTGACGTCAGGCCAGTAGAGCGATAGTCTACGATGTGAAGCCGATTCGGCTTTGTTCTCACTAGAAGAATTAAATGCACTTAATTGGTATGGTGATGTTTTTTGTATCTCTCTCTCTAAGTGCCATATCGATTGACTTTGGAGATCATGCTGTTCCACAACCCTCGGTTCCTAGCCGTCTGTATTAGTACCACTCTCAGTTCTTTCACTCCTCTCTCTCTTCCAACAATATCTGCAGACTGTCCATCCAAAGTATCCTCCTTCTCCCCCTTCTTCAATACTCTTATTCTGGTCCTAACTCATTATTCGATTTGTCAGAATTTTGCCTAGCTTTGAAAATGAAGATTTAGCGAGAGCTATCCTTCTTTTGATCTCTGTCTCACATAGATTTCCATATCTAACATATTGAATTGCCATTTTTTCGAAAATCGGATCGCAGGAGGATGGTGTAGTATGCGGTGGGGCAGTTCTGCTGAACATGATAGAGGATCGGTCTTGATAGTACACTCAATCATTTGTGTGATTGATGGCACCCGTTAGCTCAAAGAAAAAAAAAACATGTTTAGCGTCCTGCTTTTTTGAAAAATAGGAAGGAGGCCCTTTTTTCTTTTTCAAAATGGCCGCTCAAAATTGCCGCTCGGTACATTTTCCCTGACAGTTGGGTTTTCTTTCAAGATGGCCGCCGACAATTTAAAAAAAAAATCAGAAATAGATCCATTTTAGCAGCGTTGTTCATGTTTTTTATTCTTTAAAAAAAAGAGGGGGAAAAAGAGGAGGCGGCCCCAAAAAAGGAAGCGGGTGCGGACGCTAAACATGAATATTTCTTTAAATGGCCTTACCGACTACCACCAAAATGGTGTCATATTTGCCACGACAGCCCACTGCACTATGTCTTGAAATATTATGTTCAGAACTGGCCATGATATCACATTATTACAGAAACTGTCCAGAAGCAATTGTGAAAGGTTGGCCTTGTAGAACATAACAAACATATGAATGATCAAAATTTGAAACAAAAAGCAAAAAGGAGATTAAACTACGTTGAAAGTCACATGCATTGCCCACAGAAATGGGTGAATGAGACTGCACACAAATGTTTCACCAGAATAGTCAAGTTTTGACCATTTCTTTGTATGAGAGCATTTTAAGAGCAATGCAGTTTGGGGACAATTCCTATAGTATTCTCCAACACTGACATTCCAAGAGAGGGAAAGCTCACAATTTTATTTTCATTTTTTTCAGCACTTACTAATATATATTTAAGCCTTCTCTTTTAGTAATGCCTAAACAAACAAAAAAAGTTGCATTGCCATTTTGGTGCCAGCACCTGGGTCGGTATGTTGATTTTTGTCGTGGCTTTTTTCCCTCTTTGGGCTGATATTTTCAGTTTTGAATGCTTTAATACATATTTTTTTCATTCATTAAATATTTTTTCCCCCAAAAAAAGGTTTAAAAAAAAACTTTAATGAAAAGCCGACGGTAGATTTTAATATTTTGGGCTTGGTCGCAAAGGGCAATACAACAACTTTTGTATTGCTTCATAGTCCTACTCTCCGTTTACCTATGGCATCAATATTATTATAGGTCACCTTTTTCATTTTTACCAGAAGCAAACCTTCTCTTTTGTTAACAGTTCTACGCTGCACTTACCAATAGCATCAGTTAGAGGTCCATACCCATATAGTTCCATCCTCAAAGAAAGGAAACCGTGATTGGTCTTTGGATAGATCCGGAAAAAGCGTCCGACTATCGGCCTAGCAAGCATGTGAGTCACATGGCTATCACGGTCATAATTTCCCGGAAATATCTATACAAAAACATGGTTAATGAGAATGACATTAAGTAATATTGCAAGGCAAACTCATTCTTAATGAAGCTCATCGTTAGGTCATAACCCTATACAGCCTGAGTGTTAATACAATGCTGACTACACCCCTTGTAGTCAAGAAGAGCCAGAGCGAATATCATTTTTTTTCCTTTTCTTTTTTTTTCCTTCTTTTTCTTCTTCAAGTCCATATTTCAGTATCCTAGACAGTATTGTGTAAAATGGAAGAGAGCTATACTGAGTTCAGCGCTCAGGGGTTGTCGAAACCTCCATATCAACATGGCTTGCTCAACCAAGGTGTCATTTTAGTGATTCTTGTTTCTTATCTAAAATTGAAGAAAAAAAATCCGTATTGGGTTGTAAGGTTTTATGATCTTCTGATGTTTTGATATAAATAGGCCTATATTATGATATTGATATTTTGAATTTTCTTCTGCCCATTACACTTTTTTAAAATCAACCATCATACATAAAAAGAGAAATGGGAGTTACTTTTCTCTATTTCCTGTTCCCCAGCTTTAGAACTTCAAAATAAATATGGCACAACTTAAACTTATTGTGACTTTTCAAAAACCTTGTCAACTTAATGATTTTTTTTCTCTCCAGGAGAGCTGCGGTATATTAATTTTGTGCATGATAATGATAATGGAATATGAAGGATTTTCCTTTTTGTTCCATTTATGTTTTATCCCTCTTATTTTATTTCTTTGTTTCAATCTATGTTACACTGGAAGGCTCTTTCTTTCTGTATCTCCTTCTTTTCTCCTTTGTTTTCCCTTCTTTACTTTCTCTCCCGGTTTGTTTACAAATCGTTTTGTTGATGGCATATTAATTTTGTTCGGTATTAATCATAAACTAACATTAGGTGGATATTTTTATCTTGAACATTTAACAAAAAAGCAGTTTACATTTGCAACCACTTGAACTGGGGATTAAAGAAGGCTTTTTGCTACCGTTATTAGTTAACATTTTCTGACCCTGGCATTCCATTTGATGTATAATATTTTATATATACTTGCTTAGTTGTCTGTTTTCTGATTTCTCATGTATTTTCTTTACTGCCAAATAAAATATAAATAATAATAACACTATTGATTTTATAAATTACAGTATATAAAAACATTGTTTTACCAACTTTTACTTCAGCAAGACAATCCAATCGGTTTATTTCTAAGTAATATAATTTTTTTCTCGTTTTGTTTGTTCATTTGGACAGGGTACTTTTTTGCAGCCATGGCACATTAACAAAGCTAACAAAGTTTCCACAGTCATATAGAGTTCCAACGAGGTTACATTGTATATCTCTGAACACAAAGACCACTGATTAATTGTTTTTGTAATGTAATTGAGGAACCGCAATTTTGAAATTACCTCAACTGATCCAGAGTATACATTCAAATAATCAGTCCAAGCCACGTTGTCAAAACTTGACGAAAAAGTGTATGACGTCACCCATTGATCAGCGTTATGTCTACCCTGAGTCGTTACGGCCGTTACGATGTAACTGAACTCAAATTGGACCTGCATCCATTGGTATTGGTCGGACGGGTATGCGATCCAGACTGTCTTAGCGTTCAGGCGGCCAAAACGGCTGCAATAGGACGCCGAGAAGCAGGATGATTCAGAGAAAGCCGAATCTGGAAGAGCACCACTTTCAAGGCCGAGTGGTTGACCAGATATATTACATGGGTTCACTGTTGAAAATTAAGTCAAGATAAAAAAAAAAGGTTATAACAGAGTAAAACGACATAGGCCTAGAAGTGAAAATAAAACACGAGAGTGAAAATTATATATCACACCGTAGCAAGTCATAAAACCGTCAGTATACACGGCGTGACAAAAATGCAACGAGATCATGATACTTAAAAAGCATCTTACCAACCTCGGTGAAATTTTGTAGGTGAGGTTTTATAATATGCCCTAGCTTGTCCTTAAATCTTATAAGGATATACAATCCAAGTAAATACTAAAGAGATAACATTATTTTGGCAAAATGTATAATTTGTGAAATGTTTACAAAGAGATCGCTTTCGTCTTTCGCGACAAATATTTTCATGAAGATATTGTCATGAACCTGTATTTAAAACATCTTTTAAGAACAAGATGCAAAAGAAATTATTTCAAGAAGGTTTTTACGTGAATTGTGAGTTACGTGCCTTTTCTATGCATTTACATTTCAATCATTATGACGAGCAATCACTATACAATAGGAAACACATGGCATTGTTTAAAGAAACTATTAAACTATTTTTCATATTCAACTCTTAAATTTAATTTATGTTATGCAAAAAACACTGCAGACATTCAATTACATTGATGTGTGAGAAAATGAAATTATTTTTAATTCTTAACCATTTTTGTACTAATAATTGATGTTAATTTAAGAGCTTGCAACGAAACGTTTAGGCGCTAGGTGTACGCTTATTGTGCAATGATGCAAATTAGTACACTTTCCTCGTAGCAATGACTTGTAACAATAAAATCGTTATGAAATATTGTAGCCCTACTCATGAGCTTTCATTAATTTATTTAATGAATGTTTAATGATTTGATTGTTGCACGTTGTTATTCATATAAGTACGTATAAGGTTCTACAGTTGTTATCTATATGTTTTTGTTTTAATTTGTATTTGAAATCCATCCTCAAGTTTCGTTTGCAATTAAGAAATAATAAGAAATAACAAGAGTTTGAAAATACTGCGTGTCATTACAAAAATATAATCATTATAAGTTAGTATTTTTCGCTCGAATTATTTGAAATTCACAGGATTACTCGGGGATTCTACTGCAGGTTATCAATGATTTTTTTTTCATCGAGGATGGTCGAGTATTTTTAAAGATGGTGCCAATCAAAATATCTCTCCATTTTTAAGACTCCCTGTAAATATATGTAAAACATGTTTTCATTTTGATGAATTTTTAATAATGAAGTTACTCTGTGTCAACCCTGTGTAGACAACGCATATTATCATTATATTATCAACACTATCATCATAATTATCGCTATTACTATCATTATTATTATTACGATTAACAGTATTAATATTATCATTATTATTTATTTTTATCACGATTACTTACATTATCATTATTATTATTATTATTATTATTATTACTCACCGGGGCAACACACAATGGAAATAATTTCACTCTCGTTTATCTGTCCCACTTTAGTCTCACTGTACCAGCAGTCGGTAATGTTTGTGGCATTAGCAGGGCATTTCACTGATTCGGCTTCAGCAGGAGCATCGATGGACGAGGACTCGTACAGTGGACCGCTCACCGTCGCAAATACTCCTTGTTCAATAAAGTTTAAGTGAAAAGTAGGATACCAGAGTAGTCACAATATTATTTTGAAGAAAATAAATGCAAATCACATCAAATTATTAACTTTATCGGGTACCACAAGAACTGATTTGTGACGACATGCAACATATATAATTTGGGTATGCCCCCAAAGCAAGAGTTTTGACAACTGGAAAGGATAAGAGAGAGATTCAAGTTGAAGAGGGAGAAAATCAACTAAAAATGGAATTTAAATCTCCAACTTTTACCATATTCTACATATACTTCTGATCGTGTCACCAGTGTTTGATGATTCTTTTTTTTAAATAGATCAATAAATAACTTAATATATAAACAGAGTGTATTATAATATTTGTAAAAAGACCCAAACACATCCATCATTAGAATCTCACAAATAAGGGGAAACAATATTTAGCAACTTTACACTTTCAAATACCTTGGGTACATTGTAGCATCAGATTGGAAAAGTGTTCATGAGATAAATGAAAGAATTGCAAATGGCAAAGGGTACACCTAATCAAATGGAATCCGTTATAAAAAAATTAGAACATTACCGTGAAGAAAAAAAATCGTAGCTTTAAATCGTTTATATCTGATTAGTTTTTATCTACGGATGTGAGTGTTGGACAATAGACAAAGACCTTGCGAGAAGATTAAAGGTCACATGGACCTGGTTCTTGAGAAAGATTATGAATGTAGCATGTACAGGAAAGATAACAAATAAAGAAGTGTTCATCAACACAATAAGAGAGAAGCAAATGCAATTTGTATTCACATTATCATACAGAAAGGATAAATTAGAAAAATATGTAATAATAATAATAAAAGTCAGTTTTTATATAGCGCTTATTACAATCACTAAGCGCTTCCAAACTTGTGAATTATTACCCCGGCTTTAGCTGTACAGCCATTACGGCGCTCTAGCATTTCAAAGAATTAATTCCTGTCAGGTACCCATTTACATCATCTGGGTTGAGTGTGGCAAATGTAGGTCAATGTCTTGCCGAAGGACATTAGTGTCGGGGCGGGTCTCGAACCGCGGACCTTGTGATCGACAGTCTGGCGACTAACCACTCGACCACGGCAACTTTACATAATATATTACCAGGGAAGATTGCTGGAAATAGAAGCAGGGGAAGGTAATGCTTTACATATTTGCAATGGCAGAACAAACTTGCAACCACAAATGAAATCAGCAATACCAGCTGATTAAGAAAAGCAGATAATAGACATAAATGGAGGGCCATTAACATGATAATGATAATGTCTTACCTTCAAACCCTAGATACTGACATGCCAATTGGGATAAGTTCTTGTTCCAATGATCTTCATGTACCAGCACGTATGTGTTAGGATTGGAGCGGGACGTTAAGGCAAGTGTTCCTTCATTTATCTTTTCACCAAGAAGCTTTAAAGAACGGATGGTTACATCTGAAGAGTTTTAAATCAAAATATGACAGATGTATTGAGGGTAAAATTGAAAGAGAATGGAACTACTTTAGTGACCTGGGAAAAACAAGACTTTACGGCGATTTAAAGTGTCTAAAGTATGTAACTTTCTCAGCTCTCTCATCAAACCGGAATATACAAATTAGTTTGCGTAGGGCGCTAAATTGTCCAACCCATTCTAACATCATAGTCCCTAAGTACTCAAATCTTAGTCATATTAGAACACGTTTGGTGTTTGTGTGAATGTAACTAGTGAATCATTGATGAACGATTTGTGATCTAGGAAGAGACAGTAATACCTGTTTGACACCCTCCCCCCCCCCCTCGCCACCTACTAATACCTGAATCTGCCTCTGCCATGTCACACTTAGCATACTCACACCTCGCTCTCCTCACAATTACATTCATCTCCATTTTAGACAAAGGTCCCCCGCCCCCATCCCTCCCGTACAACAAAAACCTTAACCTGCCTCTAGCCCTGTCTCACTTACTTTCCTCACATCTTTCACCAAAGTATCGATCTAAACAGAGACAGGTGAATCCTGTCTCTGTCTCCTCACACCTGCCTCCATGTAGACGAGGGTTTGAGCGGCGTGCACTCTTATCTTGCCATTGTCGCTCTCCTAACAAGTACATACATCTCCAATTTAGACAACGGTTTATCCCCCCCCCCCCATCCCTTCCATACCCCCCAAAGCTTTACTTCCCTCTTTGTCACTTACTTTCTTCACACCTTTCACCACGGTAGCGATCCAAACAGAGACAAGTAAATCCTGTCTCCGTCTCCCCGCAATTGCCTCCATGAAGACAAGGGTTTGAGCGGCATGCTGGTAACAGAAATAACACAGGGGGATAAAGATGGATAAGAAAATTGGTTATCCAAGGGTCTAATACATTTATTAAAAAAACAGAGTGTCTCTGAAAAAAGGGAACACAAGTTTGTCCACATCAACATTTACCCTAAGCCCCTCCCCTCTCTCTCTCTCTCTCTCTCTCTCTCTCTCTCTCTTTCCCCCTGTAGAACAGCTACTGCCGCAGGGACGTAAAGGGTAGCACAGTAAACTTTAGTTAATGAAATGTATACATCATAATTTATATCACACTTAAATGGATTCACAGCCTTTTACGTATAAATTCGTCTTGTGTTTCGAAATATTAGAGCAGGCTTTTCGGTAGACGGTTTTGTATTATGCGACATAATATGCTCCTATAAAGATTTGAATGGATTCTATGTGGGTGTGATTCGTTATATTTCAATTACAGTCGACATTTTATTTTCGTCCGAATCATTATTAATAACTCACTGTTTCCCTAACACAAATTCTACCCGGTTTTCTATACGATACATCGAAGATGGCTTGTTCAAAAGTAATCAAATCCGATACAACGTTAGATGCAGTTAATCGCCATTTACTGGATTTTTTCTTGAAAATTGACATTGTCATTGTTGAGGGCATGTGGTGGGGTTTAAGACAGACCTAATCAATGTGTTATCTTACGTGTGAACACCTAGCGTAAATGAAAAGACCCCTTCAATAAACTGTCAAACCAAAACGAAAATGTATCATTATGTATAATGTTTCATACACTTTTTATCAGGAAAAAATCATAGTAAAAATGCTTGGCTTATCATGTTTACTTTTCTTTTATAATTATGTCAACCATTCATTTGAAACTTTAAGTTTAAAGTGATAAGCCTCTAGTATGCATGAGACATTTAGTGGAAAATGAATTTTGAAAAGTTGACAAGAGCCAATTTGAACTGAGGAAGCTTTGCATAATAGAATGGTACGAAAAGAAAAAAACAGCCTGGAAGTCAAAAGGTTATAACTGTCTGGCGATATCACAAATATTTCTTGTTTATCCAGGAAAGGCTCTTCAGCATTAATTCTATTCTTCATTGGGGCCCTGCAATTATCCTACGGTAAGTTGTCGATTTCAAAATATTACCCTTTAACATCTGGGTGGAGAGAGGCAAGTATATGTTGCCAAGCACATTTCAGTGCCGGCCTAGGATTCGAATCCTTTACGGTTGGTTTGAGAGTCAATTTAATTAGCCACTATAATTATTGCGACACTCCTTTACGTGAATCTAAACTTGTAATTAAATTGAATGAATAACGTTTTTGTAATATTATGCCTGGTCACGATAGAATGGCAATTCACAAGCTCGGATTTTGTTATGATAAAATGGTTCTTTTTCAGTGCCAAATACAATAACAAGCTAGAAATGATCCCGTGGAGGGCAGCAACACGTCCATCGTATCTTCAATATTGCAGGAGATTGGATGGACATCAATCCAACAGAGACGAGAACACCTTCGCTTTGTGATGTTCTACAAGATTCACAACCAGCTAGTTCCATTCAACTCAGAGGCACACATCACCAAATCCATCACACCAACAAGAGTTGTTCACACACAAGGGTATCTCCGACCTCAGTCCAGGACTCAGCAACACCAGAACTCCTCCATCCCTAGAAATGTGAGGACATGGAACACCCCATCCAATGTCGTGACAGCCCTATCTGTCGAAGCCTTTTGTCTCCAATAGACGAGAGGCTTCAGCAGCGAGATCCAAGGCTGCTTTTACTTGCACCTTGTTAATTAATGGCACATGCACCCTATCCTTTTGACGAACGCTACACCAAAGTTCTTCGAGATTGAAGGAAGCAGCGAAGAAGAAGAAGAGGAAAAAATATGAATTACGATTGCGTTTTTTCGGCTCCAACGTTGTTTTTCAAGTACATTTTTCCGAAGGTCTATAATTCCGAAGGTGCATTATTCCGGAGGTAGTCATTCCGATAATTCGTATATTCCGATAGTTCGTGCTTCCGAAAATGAAAAGCTTACGTAATTTCGAAAATGACGTAGAACCAACAATAATGTTTATCGGAATTACTAACCACCCGAAAAACGAGCTCTTTTTCATTTTCCGAACTACATACTCAAGGAAAAATTAACGCTCTTTCAACCATGGAATTAGGAACTTCCTGGTTTTGGGAAATTCATTTTTTCGGATGTACGAAACTTGGGAGATATAAACCTTCGAAAAAACGAGGCCTCAACCTTGTTTCGTGCCACCTCATTTCGAGGATTGTGCATGTAAACGCTACCTGGTTCGGTGCAATAGTAATGCCGGACATCATCAGAAATCGGAAGGTCTGTCGGGAGGTTGGATATTAACCAGTCTAGATCGGGTTGCACGAGTTTCGGGATTAATTGTACAGTCTCCCCGCTCTCCAGAGTGATCAAAGGACATGACGTCATGGTCACATGAGGACAGACGTCATGTACGTCATATGATGCTACAATGGAAATCAATGAAAGAATGAATAAATTAATAAATAGATCGGTAGATAAATAAATAATTGAAGGGAAAGTTGAGTTCTGTTTTCAGACCGCAAATGCCTTCAAAGTGCATGGTTATTGGTCTTATTCTTATCTATGACATTTCTAGTGCCCTTTTAGAACCTAAAATTGCTATGAAGGTAATTTTAGACCCTCAAATGTGTGAAATGGAGCCAATACGATCAAACCAATGCAGCTCCACTTTAAAAAAAATATGGTGACCGTTAATTAATTATTTAATTAAAAAAAAAATACATTGGCCGGCTGGTGGGCGTATAATAAGCAACACGAAAATGCCAACAAAAAAGCCAACATCGGCATTGACTGAAATACGACGTAATTTTTTCAACGGCTTTTTCAAATTATCTAATAATTGTAGTGGTACACAAGTACACTGTCGCTCATAAAGGTGGAATATTTTTGTTTTATCCCAATTTATGGAATTATTTTAAAAATTGTTTAAAAATAATAGATCTAGATAATAGTATACATTCTCAGATTTTATTGAATAATAATTTGCCAATGTGTGTTTTGCGTGACTGCTAGAGCATGTGTATGCTATTATGCTTATCAACTAGGGGACCTATGCCCTTAAGTCATAAATGACAGTAATGAGGATTAATGCCCCACAAAAGGGCACTTTATAGCACATCGACACGGTTTTGATCCTGGGGCCTCACAGTAACGAGGCTATTGCTTTGTCACTGAACCATGACTGTGCGCAGCGGGGGCTAGGGTAGGGGGCAGTTTCCATAAATTATAAAAAACACAGAAAATGCAATAAATTTTCAATAATTTATTGCATTTTACCCCGGTTCCCAACATAAACAAATCTTTTGTGTGCCCATGCCTTGAGCCATAATGCATGGCCGTCTAGAGGATTTCTTTATGTTTGGGACCAGGGTAAAATGCAATAAATTATTGAAGATTTATAACATTTTCTGTTTTTTATTTTATTTATGGAAACTGCCCCCTACCCTAGCCCCCGCTGCGTACAGTCATGGTTCAGTGACAAAACAATGGCCTCGTAACTGTGAGGCCCCAGGATCAAAACCGTGTCGATGTGATATATTAGTGCCCTTTTGTGGGGCATTAATCCTCATTGCTGTCATTTATGACTTGAGGGGGTAGGTCCCCTAGTTAATAAGCATAGTAGCATACACATGCCTTAGCAGTCCCGCAAAACAAACATTGACAAGTTATTATTCAATAACATCTGAGAATGTATACTATTATCTAGATCTATTATTTTTAAATAATTTTTAAAATAATTCCATGAATTGGGATAAAACTAAAATATTCCACCTTTATGAGCGACAGTGTATTATAAATCGTTATATTTATGGATATTTCAGCCGTCTCTGAACCGATTTTGATCAAACAAAGATAATTTTGTCATTTAAATTGTATGTGCTTTCAAATTGGACTCTCAGTTTTTCATTATCTCACAAACAATTATTTTGTGTAGCGCCCTCTGCAACAGAACTCAACTATCCCTTTAAACCTATTTATGAATATAGAAGTAGATGTTAATAAATTAATGTATAAACAAATAAATAAACAAATATATAGTAATGAATAAACAAATAATTAAATAAGTATGAATAAATATAAACAAATTCAAAATGACTAAGCTATGTAAGGGGTATGGAAACGACAATTGTCTTGTTCTAGTTGTTAAGATAAGTAAGTGATAATTAAAAATAACACGAAATACACTCATGAAAGAAAAATTAACGCTATTGCCTTGGGATAATTTGGTTTTTATTGAATATCTACGCGTGAAAATGATTGAACTTACATGTATTTCAAAATAACAAAAAAATAAACGAGGAAGCAAAAGAATAATAATAATATCAAGATGTCCATTTATATAGCGCAGCTACCATATAAACATGCTGTACTGCGCTCATAGACATGAGTTAGTATAAGCATAAACTTGACAGAATTAATGTGCAAGTTATACTGAAAATATGCTGGTCTATGAAAGGCTTATACCTGGGTCTGCCATTAAAATTCTTATTAAATTTTTAATGGCAATTCGATTAATAATTCCACTGTGAAAACACAACTTAGAAGAATGTATTTGATAGGTTATTAAAAATCTAATGTATGTATATGACGTTCTATATCATACGGATATTTTTGTTATGTTACATGGAAATTATCATTCAGTTGTCCCTTAATCCCATTAAGTTGATGTGTGCGTGTGTGTGTGTGTGTGTGAAGAGGGGAAGATGGGTATTTGAACGAGCATAATATATTTTGCAATGACGTGAAATGAAACGTAGCTACAGATAGAACTTTTTTATAATAATATAGGAAAATAATAAGTGCACCCCCACCCCCACACGCACACACACCCTCACTAGTTTGGCGGCTCCTGACAATAACGTCCAAAATAATACATGAGGGTGTTCGTTCATTGCTAATGCTAATTGTTAATGCTAATGCTGATTGCTAATTGTCATTAGGGA